GGGGGGAACCAGTAACCGCAAGGGAGACTCTCCATGACCAGCCCCGAGAGGCCTCAGGGCGAGGTTGGCGGGCAGCCTGCTCGGCCCCAGGGTAGTTTTTGCTGATGGTCCAATCGCTTTCCCCTTTCTCACTTCACAGCCGGTAAAGGATTCTGGTCAGAGATGCTGGGAGTTGGAGACTTTTACTATGAACTGGGTGTGCAGATCATTGAGGTTTGCTTGGCTCTGAAACACAGGAACGGAGGTGAGGATCCCACTGGTCTGGTTTCTAACAGGGGGATACCTGTTCCCTGGGGGAAATGAGGCGCGTGGCTCAGCGTGGTGTTCTTGGCTAGGTTTCACAAGTTACTGAGATGGCAGTTTTGTCTTCATTGTCCCCAAAAAGCCTGGTTTCGTTTCTATAAGGTGTTAACAGCTACACCACTGCTAATCAGCCAGTTTTATGGATTCCTACAAAAAAAAAAATCAACCAACTCTGCCCTGTTTGGTAACAAAACCCTAACTGGCAGCATCATGGGGAAGGAGCAGGGAGCAATGACAATCTTGAAGGAGCACGAAACTGCCAAGCTACTGCTTTGAGCCTGGCGGTAAGGTTGTCTCTAAAGGGTCACAGCAATCTCCAGAAGAGCTGGAAGAGCAGTGATAAGGGCCTAATTAAACTAGACAGATGTTCTTCACTCCAAAAGGGCAACCTGAGACCAGGAATGGGCTACAGCAAAGCCAGTTGAAACCGGAGTCTGATCATTTGTGGGAGAAGGCAACAGGGGACTGCGGCGTGTTAGTTCGGGGAACAGAAGTGGCCCGATGCTTCTGTCACCCAAGGCTAGGTGCTGGGAACAATGAGGAAGGCAGGGGTGAGGCAGAGGCACACGCACCAAGGACCCCGGACCGCTCTTGCCGCAGGGATTGTGTTGCTCTGCAGTAACGTTTTCCTGTCCCCTTCTGTTGCCTCCCAGGTCTGATAACGCTGGAAGAACTTCATCAGCAAGTGCTGAAGGGAAGGGGGAAGTTTGCGCAGGATGTGAGCCAGTGAGTGTCTGCGGTCCAGGAAAGGGGAAGCAGTAGGACTCGGGGAAGAAAAGGGGGCGACTGATTTCAAACTGGACTCCAGACTTGACTTCCAGCAATGGAGCCACTTAGACGCGATCCACAATTAACGATGTAACCACTTGAGAAAGCAGCAGCGCGCTCTCCCTGGGAGCCCTAAGGCATAAAGGACTGTTGTCTCGAGCTGGAGATAATTAGCCCCCTGCAAATCCAGCTCTCCTGCCATAGTCTGCTGAAGCTGCTGTGGTCTCCTAAGCTGTAAGGGACTGAAAATTGTTATAGAAGCAGATTTTAGGACATAACTCACCCTCATGATCACTAATTGGGGCTGAATCTTAAAGTTTAGCGCTTGCAGCTCCGGTGCTACAAGCGTCTCTAACGCAAGGCTGCGCTCCTGAAGGGGGCCACAGACACACAAACTAATTCTAAGTGGCTTTATAAACAGTTTTTTCAGCTGTTGATTACCTGAAACTGCAGCAAGCTCCTCGGAGCTGCTGTGGCTCGTAGCTTCTGCACGCCAAGTCTTCCTCATTTACAGAAGGTCGGGTGCAGTTGGAGAGAGGCTCTCGCTCTTTAACGCTGCGCGTTGACCTCTGCTTCTCAGGGACGATCTCCTTCGGGCAATCAAGAAGCTGAAGGTCCTGGGGAACGGCTTTGGGATCATCCCTGTCGGTGGAACATACCTGATCCAGTCGGTACCAGCTGAACTGAACATGGATCACACTGTCGTCTTGCAGCTGGCGGAGGTACTGAGCCAGGAGATTTTAAAATACAACCACCTCGAAAGAACCTTATTGCTTCCAGGCCAGGCAGCTGTGATGAGACCAGGCCTGCGGGCAACACTGGCCACACTCTTCTAAACTAGGGACTGAAGTTTTGACTGTAAGCACACCGTGGTTTTCCTCTCATTTCAGAAAAAGGGCTACGTCACAGTCAGTGAGATCAGGTCCAGCCTGAAGTGGGAGACGGAACGTGCAAAGCAAGTGCTGGTACGTACGAAGGTCTGGTGCACGGGGAGTTCGGTGACGGGGTGACGTGGGGGTGCGTGTCAGGGCATGCAGGGGGGTGCTGCGCTGGCTGCTGGGCCCAAGGCAGAGCACACGCTGCGTAAACACGGGCTGAGAATCTCCGAAGCTGCAGATATCCCTGCGGTTTCACTCATCTCCATTAAAACTTGAATCCTCTTGGCTCCAATCCTACACACACAGGCAGGGCGGGCACGGCTGGATGCCTGAACTGTCTTTCTCCCGGTCGAGTAACAAATATTGTAGCCCCAGTTCTACACCCTCGCTGACCCTGGAATAAACGTGGGGTCAGGTCTCTGCTGGGAATGGCTTCTCAGCCTTGTGAGTTCCCCTCACAGCGGCCGCTCTCTCTGCACAGGAACACTTGCTGAAGGAAGGAATGGCCTGGCTGGATGCGCAGGCAGCAGAACCGCAGTACTGGCTGCCCGCTCTCTTTACAGAGCTATACTCTCAGGAAATCACTCCAGAGGAAGCCAAGGAGGCAATCCCTTGACTGCTACGTGTTCTGTGCCTGGACAGAATTCTTCTTGTGAGGTTATTTGCATATCACCTGAAACACAGCGGACTTGAAATAAAAGTTTTGTAAAAAGTGTCGAGCTTGAAAATTTCATAGGATTCATTCATCCTTGCTTACCTCTGAATTTTCTGCTCTGTTGTGGGGTGGAAATGCCACTTACCCTTACAGACAACTAATTACCTTGTCGCAGCAAGAGGAAAATCACCTAAGCTGCTATTGCAACTGCAGTCTCGGAGGATGCAAACGTGACCCTGGCTAAAGAATCTTGGAGCCAGCAGCGACACTGAGAAACTGTCCCTGTAGTCCTGTCTGCTCTGTGCACGAGTCGTTGTTCCACTAAGGAGTACCACAGTCTAGATTCTGCCAAAACAAACTTTATTGCACAAAAAAAATCTTATGTACAATAGTATATAAACAAGGTATCTTAGAGTGACTCTTGTGCATATATTTTCAACTCAATTAGGTCTAAAAATCTGTTGCTAAAACATCTCTGCCTAGAGCAGTCATTTGAGGATTGTCACTTTGAAATGGAAACATTCAGAAATGGTAGGACAAACAACATTAGAGCTATAAAACTAATACTTCTCTTTTACAGCCACATGCTAGTTATGTGAATAGTGTCCACAATAAGGCATTTTCTTGTTTCGTTGTATCAGTGGATGGTAACGCCACATGCATCACAAACAGATTTCAGAACCAGCTCTGCCTTGGGAAGGCAGCAGAGTCACAGCTCTACCCACAATGCTACCAAATGGTGAAAAACAACGTGACATTTACAATGGGATCGAAGAGGCGGTAAAGGAGCACACAGCTCCGGACTTCTCGGGAGACCCCGCTGCCTCCCCGAGGCCTCCTTTCAAGGTGAACACCGCTTCAGCTGCTCTCATCTGGTGTACGTGTGGAGTGAGTCCTACGTAAGTTCAGCTTTCCCTCGAGGGAAGACAGGGTTTAAGTCTAAATCAAGCCAATGACAGGCCCAGGGGAGTTTGCTTGCTAAAGGGAAAAAAGGTTCCCAAGTTGTTAAACGGCACCTTAACGTTCAAGAAATGTTTCCACCTTTCAGCTTTTCAGAGCTGCTTAAGCAGCAGTGTGCAGGCTTCTGAGTTCTGCAGGAGTTGATATAAATCAGAGAGAGTGAAAATAATTCAGTGACGCATGGGGCATTGCCGTTCTGTCCAGCGCACGGCGGGGGGGGCTTGGCCCCTCTTTCTGCACTTTTTTTAGAACAAAGATGACTGCATTGGAAGTTCTCCCACCACCATCAGGAGGCTGAAACAGGGCCAAGCTGGTGGGAAGGTGTTTAAGGAAACGAGAGGAGGGCCCAGGACAATGTGCAACTTTGTGCTTAGCTTTCCATCAAAGCTCCCATAAAAATAATAATTAAAAAAAAAAAAAAAGTAGATTAAGCTCTTTATCAACAAAACATTATACTGCTCCAATGAATCGTCACCAGGTTCATCTACCTGGGGAAACCGGGGATTTCACCTCCACCCAAGTTCCACTAAATACATCTTTGATGTAAGGGCACTCGCAGCCAGCAGACACCTCTCCAAGAGGCCGGCCTTCGCTCACCGTAAAAACCTGCTGTTGAAAACATTCAAAGCTCTGAAGCGTTCAACTTTAGGACACTCAGCTAGCTTGTGCTCGGCCAAGTTTGGCAAAGGAGTTTGTCAGTAACAAGGTGTACACCTCCGAAGAACCCCACCCAGAAACAGTGGCCTCCTTGGCTAGAATCGCCCCTTATTCTAGCGTTTCAATGGGATGGATCAAAGTAGCAACAGGGAGTGAGGTGCCAGGAGGAAGAAGGGAGGAAAATGAACTATTACACTGAGTAGAGAGGTGGAAAGCAAAGAGTACTTCAGTGAAGGAAACGAAACAGCTCCATTCAGAGCAGCCAGAGTAAAATATTCTAGATGCTAAATTCAAATCAACACCTTAAAAAAAAAAAATACACAAACTAGATTTCTTTTTAAGTGCTTCCCCCATTTCTGACCAAGGATTTTCTCGCCCTCCCTTCCCCCAAATACCAGGATGAACACACCTGCACTCCATTTATGGATTCTTGCAGTTTCCACTTTTCATCCACCCCTTTGCGCCTGAAGTCTCAGTGGACGAAGTCCCCCAGGGCTTGAGTAAAGCTTTCAGAAAGGAGCCCAGATTCCACCACTGCTCTTTATCTTTGGTCTGTCTAGAACAGGGTCTAGAAGAAAGACGTCAGGTAGGTGGGCTCCACGGAGCAGAGAGGCTCCGTCTCTCCCAACCCGCACAAAAAGGTTCCGCCTGGGCACGCGGGGCGTGGGCCCTGTCATACCCTGGACTCATCAAAGCGCTCCCACAGCTACAGCTCCACGTTCAGCACGCCCCAGGGAAGGGCTCACTGTCTAGGAACAGAGAAGCTGTCAAGAGGATTTGCAGTCTAGATCTCATTCTTTAATCAAATGGAGAAGGAAAAAAAAAAAAAAAAAAAACCAAAACCAACCAGTGTAGGTGTTTCCAAAAAATAACCTGATGCCACATGCTCTGGCTTTCTAGCATATTAAGTACCTTTTAAGAGTAGCCTGTCACAAGCTTGGCTTTGTCTAGCATGAAGTCTTCTCATTCAGCGTTATCCACCAGAGCAGTAAAAGGAGACCGAAGATATCCCGTAGTTTCCTCCGCTCTGGCATTGGTTTGGTTGTTGAGTCTATCAGGGGTACTCTAGAGTGTGAAGACAGAACATCCCCACGGCTTGGCCTCTCCACTGTTAATGCAGCTCTAAGCTTTAGAGCAACCTTGAGTGTCTGTCTCTGTCTCGGAGGAGCTGCTCTCAGAGTCTATTTCTGTAACCTCCTGCTGGTGTTTCTCTTGCACCTTCTGCCGAATTCCTTGCAAACGCACTAATAGGGACTGATAGTCGAAGTGGCCTCGTTTTTCACCAAAAGGATCCTGGAAGAAAACCACAGATAAGCCTATTAATATAAACCATTATCCTTCTGGCAAGAGGCAGAAAGAAGGCGGCTGCGTAGTCATTGGGCAACAAATGGTCAAAGACTTAAGGGTTAAATCCCATCTTATGAGGGACAGGCCCCTTAGCTTCCCACTGCCATGGCGGAGGTGGAAGACTGATGACAATTTCTGTTTGGAGTCTGTTTTGGGAAACCTCACAAACCCAAGCAAACTTCAAAACCAGATGAAAGGCCAAGCAGACGTGGTTTGGATTTCTACCACCTGCTTTGAGGAAGTAAACTGTTTCAAAGGTTTGGTCTCAGGGGCGTTCCAGGGAGGCAGGAAAAACATTACAAACGAAAGTCTCTCAAATCCAGAGGCCAAAGACTTGACTGCACTTCGTGTTAGTGCTACAGACCCTTGTCCAAATGAAAGCATCGCTACGCTCATTTTAAACCAAGGCCCCCAGCCGAGATGTAGCCAAGTCAGAGACAGAAAGTCTTTGGAGATTATTCAACGTTTGCTGCTTTTATCCCCGTCCCAGGTCGAAGACACATTGCCAGGGGTATATAAGGTGGCGGTGGTGGAGTTTACGCTGTCCTGTCTGATGGGAATCTTTGGTACAAGCCAACATTTGGCCCCAGAGTGAGCAAGACAGCACATCTGGCAAGCACTCAACTGATACCGAGCCTGGAGTGACTTCATTTTAAACACAGGGTAACGAAGACAACGCTACCATCTCTCCAGCACGTTGTGTTCGTGCTTCCTGCGTGACTATAAGCGAGCAGAAAACCAACCACGGCAGTCACTGCCTCTGGGAACTGAGCACGACACAGTGATCTTCACAAACCCTGGAGAAAGCAACTGAGCCCTGACTCCTTGAAGGAGAAACAAGAGTGGGCCACACCTGACAACCCTCTAACGTCACCAAACTTCAAGACATTCTCTGCAGCTGGAAGTCAGGCACAGACCTATAGGAATTTCTCACTTCAAACATGACCTCTCCTGCTTTGGGAAGGGCTTTCAATTTATGAATTACACAGCCAGTGACGGCACTGACAGGAAAAAAAAAGGACTCAGAGACACAAGATCATTAAATCAACCACCTCCATCTTTTCTTAGCAGTGAAACTTCTCAATGAGTCAGACAAGGGGTGGCTGAGGAGGGAGGAAGACACATCTGTTCATATGCAAATAGCTTGGCAATCTATTCTTTAAAGTCTACTTTCCTGCAGAAACAAGCTCCTGTATTCAACCTGTCTAGATGTGTCTGCCATATTGTCACTGTTCCTCCAGCCCTTCCTCCCCCAGTTACTTTTGACTCAGTCAGCCACTTTCCATCTCATCTGACAGAGCTAGGAGCACCAGAGAAAAGTTCCTATCTGCTGTAAGAGCAAAGGAACCTCAGAACAAGGGAAACTCTAGCAGTGACCCCACAGGAAAATACTGCAGGGGAATTCAGTGGCCACCACCACTCGATAACCCACATGGGCCCTCCCTGTTTAACACCAAATCCACACGAAAGCAAACTGGACCAGTTCCACTGCTGAAAGAAGTACCTGCTTGCCTGGAGAGCGTGGCAGGTCCAGCACTCAGAAATGTAACAGCCTTGTAAATATTGCTTGAGCTTGGGGATGGTAGTGTTTTATCCCCAGGAACGTCTCAGGTCTCAGTTTCATGGCTGATCCAAAGGTGGAATATATAGTTCATAGAAAAGATCCAGATCCACCCCATGTACCTCTAGGTGCTGCCCATTGTTTGTCACTAACCACGCACCCTTATCTAAGGCAGGGTGTTATCAACAAGCAAACTGTCAGCCACTCACCTGCATCGTCTGTCCTTGGAGATAAAGTCTCTCTTTACACACCCCTTCATAGAAGTCGTAGTATTCCATGAAGGATTTCTCCATTACGCCCCTGAACGTAACGAGAGAGCAAACAATCAGCACAAAACGACAGTGTTACCACGGCCACCTCATCCAGGGTCACCCCATCCCCCTGAACTCCACGTGATCACCGTGGACACCCACGCAGGGTGTCCCAGACAACCAACAGGGCACGGCGAGGCAGGACACGGAGCGGAACGAGCTGCAGCGTCCCTGCAGCTGAAGAGATCCTGCACGTGCTTCCACAGCAGCTGT